TGCTTTTTTTTCTGTCATTCACGCATGAATTGCAATGCATTTTCACTGCTCGAGACGCTACGAAAGTGTGTTGAGCATGGTGCATACGCTCAAGGATCTCAACTCAATGAATGAGTTTTTTTCTCGACAATATACGTAGAAACACCGTGAGGATAGAGAGAGTGCAAGAAAGAAAGTACTGTAATCACCGTTCAACAAATGCCTAATTTAAATGATTCAGTTGAAAGTGTCGCACGTAGTGTCAGTACATTAATCATTTAAAATTAGAATCATCTCTTTGTCGACTGAAAACGATGACGACTACGGAATTTTTGCATTCGAAAACGAATGCATCTTTCATTATAGTTTTTATTTGTTGTCGTTGTTTTTCTTCTTCGTTTAAAAGAAAAAAAAAATCGTTCGGCTTTGCTTCAAATGACACTGTTAGTATGCTGTTTGGTGATTACGTTTCCTCTTTTCGGGGACTGTGAAAAATTTGCGCGACTGATTTACATACGCATATATTAGTGCACTGAGACGTGTGATGCATTTTATGGCGCACTTGATACTTTGGCTAATTTGATAGGTATGCACTTTACTGTCATACTGCCAAAGTAGTGTGTTTTACATTTTATTTGATTTGATTCCTCGTTGTGTTACATGTAATGAGTTTGATTTTTGTCGAGAGCCGAACCGATTTTTTTTTTGTTGTGAAAACTGCTAAATGGAACCGTGTGCATTTTTGATATGAGAGTACTGCTCTATCCCTTTCCTTAATTGTTTTTCTTTTTTTTTTTATGTGCGATTTTATTCGCCTGATAAATGTAAAAATTATGATTTTCTGCGCTCGATATTTTTATTCGCTGGCATCGTTTGAAAATGTTCTTCTATATCTTTTCGCTTGTTGTCTTGTGCGATGTCAATTAGCGAGACAGCTCCGACATCGTTTGAATTGTACGTAGGAATTAAACATTTTCAAAATGTAAATAAATTGTTTAATTGGTTGTTGGTGTTTTTAAAATGATTATTACATGTTTCATGTTCATTTTCGGCCACTTATTCACTCGGCGCGCTCTCTCTCTCTCTCTTTTATTCTCCTTGTCGGTGTGTTTTTTTATATTAAAATTTATTTGAATGTGCCGCGAGCGCACATCACGGTGTCGCCAATAGCTCTCTTAGTTAATGCTTTAATATCAGCGGGGCTCACCTCTTTCTTTCTTTCACGATCTGACATTGATATGCCTTTCAACTCGAACAATTTATTTATCTTATGATTAATTATGAAAGATGCGTTTATTAGATTGTAGTTGTTATGTGTGTGCGGCAGCTCATCATCACGGTGAAATAAAAAAAAACACCGTCGAAAGAGAGAGAGTGAGTTAAAAATCAACACAACAACGACAAAACTCTTTGCGGTACATGTTGATAAGTTGTTTTCTTTCTGGTTATATTAGTGTTTTGTGATGTCTGTTCTTGAGTTATTAGCATTTAATTACGAAAATGTTCCCACTGTTTTGCGGGCACGAACAGAAGATGTGCGACAAGTGCGCGTCTCGATTTGAATCATGCACACATTCGCTACCACAGATTCATAATTGATTTTCATGGTTACACCGTGTGCGCTACAAATGACAGCATCATTTTAAAACACATTAACAATTTATTATTGTTTTAATAATGTAATTGCAATTACTGTGACATCCTCAATTCAATAAAAGTTTGTCATTTGCGACCGTCTTGTTTTTTTGTTGTTGTTTCGCTCTTTTGGTTGCTTTACAAATTACTTCTATGCTAAAATGAAATGAATCAATTAATTCAAGTGGCTTCATTCATTGTGTCATATGAAAAGAATTCCTTTACCTATAAATTAGTGTTTTATTTATTTGCATCGTTTTTCATAGGCACACACGCATATGGTTTTTCTCACATAATCGACAAATTACGAAAAGTCTTTGTTTCATTGCATTCAATTTAAAAAGATTTTAAATTTTGTCCTCAATTCAAAGAACGAATTTTGAATGAAGTCATTACTATTTGAGAAAAACACACACACACCCATCCAAGATGTTTTCCACTTTTAAATACAACCACACAATCCCATCAAAAACTACTCATTCAATTCTCAATTTTTCATGGAGTCTTTATGTGTCAAATTTTAATTTATGTGGCCATTCATTGATTGGATCTTGCGATCTCGGCAGCCACTTCAATTGATGACAAAAACAATAAAAGTATGTCGTAAAAATGTAGACATGTTTTGTCACAATTTTTTTTTCTCTCTCTTTTTCGATTGATTCTCAAAAACTAACGAGAAAGGAATATGAACTCATCAAAATCAACAGATAAACGCCAAATGGATGAACCACAAATTGTAATAAATTTAATGGGTTTTATGTTGTGTACCATTTGATTTTTATTGGTGCTACTTGAAGGTTTTTTTTCTTCTTCTTTCATTTGATGAGTATTTATCGAATAAATAATAAATGAGCGAAAAAGAGAAACAGAGCGAATTGGTGTGTCGATAATGAAGGAATAAAAATGTGTCACCATCAAATCTTCGTTTTATAAAATGGTAATGTAAAATGCAAAGTAACGATTTAAAGTCAAATAGTGATTTTCTAAGTTCGAACATGATCACCACGCCACACATCCACATCAAAATGCACAACCATTTAAATGGGTACTTTTATTTATGTGTATACAATATACTCGAAACCGTTATTTAATTTTTATATTTATTTGATTTTATTTATTTATTTATTCTCTTGGCTGTTGTCATCGTGTTTTTCTCTAATTTTAGTTGTATTTTCAAACCATAAAATAGTCATTGCTTATTTTTATTGCATACAGCATAAACATTGAAGCAAACGAGTGTGCATTGCTCGTGTCGGTCGGTTCGAATGATTGAGACAAGAGGGATGTCGTCAAGGAATGAGACTGAACCGCGCTGTCACCAATGTGTAGGAATTAAGTTAAGGAAAAACGGCGAAAAGGTGTCCTTTGAGAATCTCTTTACACTTCACCTTTTTGGTATTGAGTTGATTGAATAAGTAAGAGAGAACCGTTTTTTTTTTTCGGAACTATACACAATGCACATACACGTACACATTCGTTCGACATTCAATTCACTTTATTTCATTTTGGGTTCTTTTTATACGTTCGTTCTTTTTAACTCCGCATCAATAAAACTTGTTTACGAACTGTTGGCAAGTTGTGCGCACACACACAACGCTTATTGTCACAATATTAAAATGTTTCTACTGTAAAATGCACATTGCACATATCTATTTAATCTATTTTTGATATCAAGACTCCTGTACATTTCTGCTTTTGGTGTGTAAGCACACTGATGAACGAACGAACAAACGACAAAAAAAGGCAAACAAATATGTTTAAAAAGCAACAACAACTATAATGAATAAATAGCGCATTGCTGCGCTTGGTAAGAGCACATGCATCAACGTGTTGCGAACATAAATTTTCAATTTTGTCATTTTCGATACCCTTTTCATAGCAGAGAATATATATATATATACGTGAAAAGAGAAACAAAGCACAAAAGTGCACACACCAACGGATAAAATATAAAACAAAATGTATTTTAAATTTGTCATTAGGTTTGTATGTTTTTATTTTTGTTTTTGTTTTTTTCCTTCGAATCCCAAATGAAGACATTAAAACAATCGAAAGAGATAAGAGGCTGCTGCTACTGCTGCAGTTGCCTTTTTATTCTCTAGGAATTTTTCTTTTAATTGTTATGGTTTTCTTTCTATTTTATTTTTGTTTATTGTTAAATCAAAAGGAAGCTTCGTTCGGAAGGCAACCGATTCAATATGTATGTGTAATGAGTTGAAAAAAAAATACCACCCCATCGATACCATTTAAAATTGTTTTGTAAGAGATTGCAGTATTTAACTATTTCAACAATTAAAATAAAGGTTTTCATCGGATGATAAAGAAAGCAAACTGTATTGGCCAACCCAATGTTGAATATAAAAAAATATTGAAATTTCCATGAAAATGAAAAGAGCAAAGAATTTCGTCGACGTCACCGAGACAGAGATAACAGTAAAGAAAGGAAGAAAATATGCCCAAATTAGACGTTAGTTCTATGGAAAGAACAATACACATACACCACATTTTAAAGTAGAATGTGACGCTTCCTTTTATGCGTCTCGCACATACGGCACACACATTTGTTCGATTTTGTGAAAAGAGAACGAAAAAAACTGGGCTCACATCAGAATGATAAAGAGGAAAAGAGAAAGCAATTCTCAACCACATGGGCTATAAAGATGTCAAAAATTGTTTTTAAACAAAATATTTATTGCGGCCGGCGTTGCGAATGGAATGTGTATCGTTTAATTTCTCCTTTCGTCGTTGTTGAATTGTCTGAAAAGTTTGTGGTTGCAAGCTGTGTACAAACACACGCCATTGCCAGCTCTTTTACTTTTCATCGTTTCCTACGGTTGAACGACAAAACTTTGCGCTTACGCTACATGGTATTATGCATTTGATGAATTTGATGAAATTTAAATATATATATATAAAAATGTATGTAGCATTGTTGGTTGTTTTGTGAATTGCATTTTCTTTCATTGTAAATTCGCCCATATTTGTATGCGAAAAATGCTTTTGGGCTTGCTTTTGTACTCTCTTTCATTCATTCTTGATCAGGTCATTAGCATTGACGATTGTCATTTATGTGTTTTATGGGCAAAAAAGACGTAAAGTTGTTGAAAAAAAAATGCCAACAATTTGATACAGTTCATTGAAAATTCATTTGCTTACTTCGGCATTTCAAAGTTGATTTCGAACATTTCAAGAATTTTCGTGATCTACAAATTTTCATCAACTCATTTAGTTGTTTATTCGCTCGGTAGGTCGGTCGGTCTTTTTGCGCTCACAACTTTCGAATTAAGTATTTATGCGCCATTTGTTTAAGTTTATGTTCTGATTTTCTTTGTTTGTTCAAAGAATGAACGAAACGGAAAAATGAAATAAAATATAATTGAACTTACCTTTACTATCCTTATTGCTAAAATTTAATGCTCGCGAAAAATGTTCATCGACCACCGTAGCCGTATCACCTGAATAATGTGTGAATACAACACACGATGCTGATAAGTATTGAGCACGCGTTGGTGTACCCGAACCGTCTAGATGCAGATCTTTCGATGTGTGCGGTGAATCTGGACCTGATGAACACGAACTATCATTATGTACACCTGAATTCGTTCCTGAAACGACAACACAGACACACACATATAAGTTAGGCATATCGCATTTGAAGAGAACAAAAAAAATAAATAATAAATAAAGAGAAAAAATATCGATCTGTTCACGACATCACCAACGCACGTGTCAACAAGTTTACACATTCTACAGTGAGGAAGTCGGATATAGAACAAAAAAAGGCAACAACAACTTAGACGAACGAAAAAAAAAACTGAAAATTAAATGAGACATGAAATGGTCAAACATATTATAAACACACACAAACACAATACATTCTTGAAAAAATTGTTTGCTGACAGTCATTTAAAATATTTTACGCTCTCAAATTTCCATTTTGATTTAGCGAATTGTTTATGACTTGTTTTTCTTTAATGACTTTCGTTTTTTTTCTCTCTCGTCTTGTCGCCGTCGCAATCTTAACTTCTAGGTGAAATTTGCACAGTGAAAAGTGTGTATGTGATTTTGATAAAGTAATTTTAATGTGAGTATATGCGTGTCGGTTGTCATCGCAATCGTTGTCGGCGGCGGCGATGATGGTGGTGCTGGTAGCTATGAGTTTATCCCAAAGTATGAATGTGTGTGCGTGTGGGTCCGATTTCGACATTTTTTCATCTTTAGTTGTTGCTTTCATTTTTTTTTTCTCTCTCTCGTTCGAATTCGGTATGTCTTGAATCTCGTTTTGCTATTTTCATGGAATGCAAATCATGAGACAGGCATTCAATGTATGAAGCCAGGCATCTCATTTGTTTTATTTTTATTGCCCATCGAATGTGATAGAGGTGCCTCTTGGGTCTCCCTATTTCATTCGCACACTCTCATTCTTGTCTCTTCGACTCACTTACATGTGATACATTCAAGATATTATATACCTACTTGAATACCCATCTAATTCTCTACATTTTACTCCCAGTTGAAAAAAAGTGAGACGAAAAGAAAACGTCAACGATTTGATTAGAAAACAATTTATCAGCTAATTTGCTCGCCGATGACACTTCAGCGTGATCTGAATATGCTGATTTTGTGATATTTTTCCCAAACGAAAAAAAAACATAATTTATTCGTTTTTCCGCTCAATTTGAACAACTCAAAAATAAAGCTAATTTGTGGCATTCAGGACGTGATTTTTAAATGATTTTTGATGGCATGTCCTTGGCGAGAGATGAAAATAAATGTAACGAAGAAAAATAAAAAAATTCCATAACCGATCACTCTCAAACGAATATCACTCTCTTTGCATGATGCTTTTTTTTTGGCTCGCCAACTATTTTCGTCAATTCGTTCATGTCTATTTCTTTGTTTCAATTGAAAGAAACAGAAATTTGGTATGTGTCAAGCAATTTCGAATGAGAATGCGATGGGCCATTGAGTGAGCGTTCCGTACGATGTTGAAATTGTAAGCAATATTCAGCGTTTATGTATCGATGCAATAAACGGTGCGCACGATTTGCACGAGAGAGAGAGAGCGCAACATTTTACAACGTCTAAGAATTGAATGGCACTAAAATAGTGCATTTTAACAGGAATTTTCAAATGTTGTGGCTCCTTTGAATTGTGATAATTTGGCTATTAACGAAAACATAGACAGACAGAGAGCAAAAGAGAGAAGGAGACATGCAATTGAAGTGTGATCGAGAAATCACCCGATGTGCAAAGAAAACATTTAAAAATAGGTGTAACAAAATGTCAATGAATTTGCAATTTTGTATTGAGATGTGTTTTTTTTCCTATTTGATTCGGTAAAAGATCAAATAACATCAGTTCAAATTTTGTTGATTTTCCAAAAACGATTTTGACCCAATAGTTGATCTAATTCTGAATTTAAAAACGAAAAAAATTGAATAGTCACCGAAAATTTTCGACTGTGACCTCCAAATATTCACGTACACCCAAAAACAAACAAAACAATTGTTAAACTATATCATAAATGGAAAATCTCCAGATGGTTTCATATCTCATTTACATTTCTGCATTACATTGTCATTCATTATGTAATTGTCAAAACATTTATTGTGTAAATATTGAGTTCGTAACACACAAACCGTGTAAATATTCATTCGCAATTTTCGGCACATCATCTGTGAGCTAAACAAGCTCTGTCAATATAAAACACGATGGAAAAAAAACAAAAAAAAAACGGTTAAACAAAAATAGTAAATGCGTAAAAAGAAGAAAAAAGACGCCAGCCAAATGTTCATGTTCGTAATTCAGAACGGCGAATGAAATTGAAATAAAACAGCAATTGGAACAGAAATATTGTATATTTTCCAACCTGATGATGAACTTTAAAAAGAAATATATAATGTTATGTCAATCAAACTTGCTTCAAAATGAATGTTTAATTCGATTTGTTGATGACACACTACATTAAATGGACAATGAAGCTTCGAGATGTGCAACGCTTTTTTTTCTTCTTCGTCGTGCGTATAAATATAGAACATACGAGAGACAGAGAGAGACAGGAACGAAGAAAGACTCAGAAAGAATTTAAAACGAAAAAAAACTGCAATCGGAAACTATGGCAACACACATAGTGGAAAAAATTTATATATTTAAAACAATCGAAAACCTTCATGAGTTATTGTTTTATTTGAATGGCAAATATATTTCACAGTTGCAAAAGTTTTTCCATTTCATTTCCCTTCTTTTGAACAACAATCCGCAACAATCGAGAATACGAACAAAAAAAAAATACATTTTAATGTTTATGTTGTTTGTTGTTGTTGTCGATTTAATGTTGTCGTTGTCGCTTTTTTGCGCGTGATACCACTTTATGTTTTTGCGTGTGTATGCATTTTGAATTGCAGCACTTCCAGATATCGGTTAAGCCAAGGAATAGTTGTTGACGATGCCAAAAACTAGCACCACATGCACCTGTCTACTAAAATCGTTGAACATTTATTATTCGATTTCGTTTGTTGATCGTTGTCGCCTTTTTTTATATTTCTTATTCAATTTCATTTTCAACTAGATGAATGTGAGAAAGGCACAACACACAAACACACACACACAATCCGACTGAATAACAACATGCCTCATGCACAATAAAATATCGATAAATGTCAAAATTAATGTGTTGCTAATATATGTGATGAAATTCTTAATGAAATGGCAATTAATTGTATGATTGTATTTTGTGTGAATCATAAATATAAACTACTCGGATCTTTGTCATTAGAGTTGACGACAGTGATGATGAAACAAAAAAAAAAGAAAGAAATGTGAATATGTTACACTTACCGTCGTTATCACTTTGCCTAGTTACACTACTTAAATCCTCTTCTTTGGCTATCGATCGATGCAACGAACCTAACGGTATGGTTGGTATTGTCGTTGAACCGCCGGTTTGTGTAGCATTTAATGCTACCGATTGTGGTAAAATTGGGCTACATGGTGAATGGGAACTAACGGATGCACTAGATGATGTGAGCGGCACTCCTGATGTCGAATACAAATCTTGGTTGAACTGCAAAATACAGATGATAAAGAAGAAACAAACAAAAATAAATAAAACCAACTTGAATTTGAAAAAAGAAAAACTATAATTGAAATACGGTAAAATTGAAAAATTGCTGACATAAAACAAAAACGAAGAAGAAATATAACCGAATCTACATGTTGTAGTCATAAATTAAGTAATCATTTGAATTTCTGTTGAAATTTCAAATATTTCGGAAAGAAATGAGATAGTGTTATGCGCAAACAAGCAGCCGCCACACATTCAAATTGTAAAATTTCACAGTCGGTTGAAGTTGTGCGGTGCTCCTTTTGTTTTCGTACATCGTTTTTTGTTACTTTTTGTATTATTTCTTTTTATTCGCCACATATAATTACATTTCGATTGTTTGGCTTGCGACTCTTCTAAATGATCGCTTCACTTTCAACCGAACGAGAGTGAGAATGAAACACAAAAATTGACTTAAACCGACTGAGAGCGGTGATTTTCTTTTGATTTTTTTTTCTTCGGTGAAATGATGCATTTTGTCTATTCGCACAAACCGACCAAAGTGAACGAAATAGAAGAAGAAAAAAACAGAATGAAAATGCTATGGCAAAGCGACCAAATTCAGGCAATTCGATAAAATATTGCATTGTACGCGTACAGCTCTATTTTTGGTTGATGCCTTGCGTGATAGTATAAATAAAAGTGTACACGTTGTAAATAAATTGTTCTCAATTTAAATTAGCATCGAAATAATATCTAAGAATAGAGCGTGCGCGTACGTATATTGTACAAAGTCTTCTCAATCTCTGTGCAATTTTTTTGTGTGCATTTCAATTAAATGAAAACAATTTTCTCATTGAAAATGCATCGTAAGAACTATGTAAGTGCTGTGTTCATGTTCACTCTCATCGCCGAGCAGAGTGCAAAAAAAGAGAGACTGAAATGGAAAGGGAGAGAAGAAGAAGATAGGTCAGTAGATTCCATGCTGTCTGACCGGACTTTGCATAATCCAAAAATGGGCAAACGCCATTCATGCAACAAATCGCAACACATTCGAATTAAACATCATTAGAAGTGCGCAAAAATTCTATAAATTTTTTCCCCCACAAAGAACCAAGCACATTTTAATTACAATTGGCCGATAGATCGATTACAATGCATAACTGAAATGCTTTCGATACGATGTTGAGTGCACACTTTTCGCTTGTGTGTCAAAAATGTACGAGCTGTCAAACTTGATGTTCATCAAATTATATATTGAAAAGTGTGAAAAGTTTGTTGCTATTTCGATCAAAATAGCTATGAACGGTTAATGTCCCGTTTTCCGTGCAAATTAAGTTTGCAAAAAAAAAAATACAATGTGTGATAGAAACGGTGATTGAAAACAGGCATGCAGTTGATAATTACCAATTTTGGGTTCCAATGAACATATTTCATACATAATTCATTTGACCAGCTCATGGATTAATAAAAATGTAAATGTTTCTTCGCGGTTTGCAGGCTGAAAAACAACAACAAAAAAAAACTGCCAAGCAAATTGGTTTGCGTTCATCTGTGCATTCAATTAACTTCAATAAGCATTAACACATCATTAGATGCAACACGTTCAGCGGATTCGGCATGAAACAACGAAACAAAAAAAACCAGCCGCTCTTGCACATCGAATATGGACTTTTACCATTTTGCTTGTGTTCGTTGAAACAGGAGATTTACTGTATATGTGTGTGTTCTTCTATTTGTTTGATGCAATTTGCACATGCTTCTCTGTGTTATTCGAATTCATTTCACTTTTTTTTGTGCAATGTTTTTGCACCCAACTATTGACTACCCATTTTTTTCTATATCCACTCTCTGTATCTCCCGCTTCATTCAGCCAGCGTGATGGTAAATGTGTGAAGTAGTAGTTTAGTAACAAAGTACGAGACGCGTCAAAATCATTTAAATGCATTCCTAATATCGCCTCATCCGCAACAACAAAGGCAAATAAAATGCCAAGCTACAATTTTTTAAGCGAGAGCATTTGAAAAATGCTAACCATTTTTGACAGAGCCGTATACCAAATTTTCGTTGTGTTAGTGGACTTGTGTAGTTGTAGCCCCAATGAACCGCCACAAATCCGACACAACCGACTAGATCACCGTCGTTAACAATAACTGAAATCGGTGTAGCAAATAGAAAAAAACGCATCCAAAAGAAGAGAGAGGAAAAAAATATGAAAAAGATGGAGTTCGTGAATTGCGAATACATTTTATCCGAGTGAAACGATGCCACACATCCAAATAGACAATGTATGTACATATTTTCAAATGATGATGGACTTTGTGTGAAAGATAAAGAAAAAAAATTAACGACTACGTGTATGGTTTGGTTTATAATTGTTTTCGATTAAAACGGGAAAAATGTGGCTAAAAGAGGGAAAATGTACAACCAATATCCAAATGTATAGCAATAAATTTAGAAAAAAAACTTTGTACACAACAAGTGGATCTCGCCAAAATATTCACGCTGTTGTGAGATGCTTCACTTATTATGTCGTACAATTTCTTTTGCTGGCTAGACAAAAGAAAATAAGTTGTTTTGAAAAATGTTTTCAATTTGATGTTGTGATAGTTGTTCAAAGTATGACATTTGTCACCTAATATCACATTTTATTCAAATTTTGCGCCACTAAAAATGAATGAAAAAATTGATGCCAAAGATGTTTCCGATTTTCAGGCAAAACTGATGGATAAACACCTAAATTCATATCCAAACAAATACGACTCTACATACACTCAATTGACCTTCATTCGATTTCATGTACACACAAGTGTTTTTCTGATGAAATGTCTCGATAGAATTTCGCATCAAAATATATTCACATTTCACATATCGAGTGAATTATTTATGATATTTTGATGTGGCAAGAAACTTTGGTTAGAGAGCACGGAATGAACGATAAAATTCATGAACAAATCCGAATGCATAAACCTCAACCATATTTTCAAATGAAGCTTTGAATATATCGGGTGTAAAATTAATTTCCAAAAACATTGGGAGTAAGAGAGTAATTAAAACCAACCGATCCATAAAGAACCGATGATAAACTTTCGAAAAGATAATGTGTGTGTTTGGCAAAATCTCAAAAAGCCACAACTTGAAGAAAATATGCATCATATGAACGTAGCAATATTCAAGGAATTTTAATATACTGCATTTCCACTTGAGCTACAGAGCTTCCATCTTTAAAACACTTTCCATAGAGAGAGAGAGATAGAGAGAGAGAGAGAGAGAGAGAGAGAGAAATAAATAGAATAAGAGAGAAAGGAAACCAATATTCCCACCGATGAATTTTGAAAATGTTCGCCAAATGGCGACCAAAATGAATGAGTGAGTGCATTGCGATCGCAAACCAAGCGACATCGTGATTGCATTTTATACGGAAGCATATACAAACTTCCGTCTTCAAAGCTAATTTTTGAAACGAATTTCCATCGTAACTATTTCGAATCCATTGTGCGCCGCACACACAATGGAAGTGTAAATAATTTTCTAAATTAATTGTCGACTTTTGCTGTATGGTGATGATGTCTTACTTTCCAACCAAAAACAGCCGACATCTCATAATGAAACTTGAACATAGCCAAACCCAAAAATACTCATTGAACTATTCAAATATTATTTGAAATTTCATGCATACACAAATAATTTCAAGAATTTTGCATTTATATGTATGTCTATTTGGGAAGACCATATCAACAATCAACACAGCAACACACATTCATGCGCATGCAGTCAATTATCCATAAGAATTTCTTTGACTCTGCTGCATTTTGAATAATTTTCGATTTGCAAACAATACGGACAAGGAGAGTCAAGAGTAAAAGTAAACTTCCAAACACAAGATAGCCAAAGAAGAACATTTCTAAGCACTTTCATTTGCTTTTTGAATATCTCGTGGCTGTAAAATTAAATTCTTGATGAAGCGCATATTATTGGTTATTTTTTTATTATCATTATCATCAATCAATATGTGTGTATCAATTTGAAATTAAAATACCATCTCTGTGGATTTTCTTGGCCAAGTATTTCATATTTGTTATAAACCGAAATCTTAACCAAAATGTTATTGCTTGTTAGTTTAGGATTGGTATTTTGTGTGTAGGCACTATTATATTACATCCAAAAAAATGTTCGTCGAATGAATGTTATCGAAAAGACCAAGAATATGAGATTTGCTTCTTTTTGGTATACCATTCATCCAATTAAATTTCGTATAAAATGTTCTATGTTGTAAATGTGCAAGTTTGAAAATGCCTTCAATTTTAAAATGTTCAATGAGTGGTTTTCACTCAACTATTTCCCATGGCACCAAGATGTAGTGTAAGTTTATTACTTTTGATTAGAGTCATCGAATATTCGTAAAATATGATCTATATATACATCGTCGGTAATTTTCTATCAATTTTCCATTCAATAAACATTGCCAGTTCATTTATCAATTAAAACTTATTAAATTCTCTCCTGGAAAATCAATTGAACGACACATACTCAAGATCTATGCCTACAATTGGGTATGTTTGTAAGTTTACAGTGAATTTATATGTGTTGTAACTTCTTTTGAAGTGTTTTACCGTAATTGTCGTTGGCTGTTCAGGATATCAATAACGGGTTTAAATTAAATTGCTCACATAACACAAACTAATCGATTCCAAACAGTGTAGAGAATAGAGCAAGGAGAGTTGCAACATCGATATCAAACGATATCTAGCTAAATAATGATGCAAACATCTCGAGTGTGTGTGTCTATTTCGAATAGAATGCATTTGAGACATTAATTAACACCTTTGCCATTCGTATCGCACCCAATTTTATTTACGCACTCATTATATGTGCACACAACCCGTGCCACGGCCACGACGACATCGAAAATCAACTGAACTTTATTTTAGCGATGAAGCCAAAAACACACACAAGATTTTGCCAGAAGTGTCTTTTATCTGTGATCGTCGACAAGCATGCTCAATGCTCATGCCTAAGCA